CCGCCCCTGGGCGTGCGGCAGGGGGGGGGCCCGCTCCCGGGGCGAGCAGCAACGGGGGGGCCGCCCCCGGGCGCGCTAGTGTCCCCGCCCCCTGGCGCCCGGCAGGCAAACGGCCACGCCCCCTGGCGCCCGGCAGCCTCTAAAGGTTGGGGACCACTGCTCTGGGGTATTCTGAGGGCTGGCAGGAGGGGGGACTCATGTTCTGGGTAGTGCTAAGGACTGGCTGCCCCACCCTGCCTCTTATGCTCCAGGCCCCATCCCTTACGGGAGCGCAAAGACGCCCTTCCTATGTTACCCAGAGGCTTGGTAAGTCTGTTGGCCCCCATGTGGTTATGTATAGGTAAATAATACACATTTCTATACCAGTCTTAAATGTTTATTTTCTGAGTATGCATTTGCATGAAAGTGCAATGACTGATTAGAATGTCCACTTAAAACATTTTCCTGAGAGCGTTTTTTATAAAATCCTCTTGCATTTGTTGTGTCACCATGAAGGAAAACAAACCTCAAAAATAGCTTGATATAATCCAGAAAGTTCAACATAAAGATAAAGACATTCAGGCTTAAGGTTTAAGTTCCATTAGCTGCTAACTCTGTAATACCCTGCTATGTCTATGGCAGGTGGGAGATATCTAAACAGTTCTGAATATATAAAAGGTATAAACATTGAGGAGAGACAGAAATAGCTTAGGATGTTACAGGATTATCCAAGTAATAAGGAATAAAACAGTGAAACTAATATAATGAAAATTTAAACTGAAGATCAGGACAAACTTCATAGTAATGAAATTTGTTAGAATATATAGTAGGCTCCCAAAATAAGTGGTTGGAGACCAATTTAATGAAACTGGACATTGCATTAACATATACTATAAGAAATGCCCTTTATTTACAGGGAAATGGACTAGATGACCTAATCAATCTTTTACATTTCTCCTTTTAATCATTCTATGACAACCATTGTAAGGGGTTTTTAAACCGTGGGTGATTTTACAGACCATACATTGTATTCTAGAGTTATTTGGCACAATGTGTGAATTAAAGATGGGGTTTCATTCTGAATTTCTTTACTTTTGTGGATTTGGATCAGACCTTTACTGTTGTTTGAATATAATTTTGTAATTTAATATTAATAATAGGCCATTTGTAATTTTCTATGTAGTTATGTTGCTGACAACATCAGCCTAATCTTACTCGATGTGGCCTCTTGGAATATTCGCTTTTAACACCCACACAGATGATATTCCAGGAAGCTCTCTCTGAAGTTGATACAAAATAAACAATTAGATTTTTTTTTCTGAGAATTACTGCCCAGAGCTGTTTCTAGTCTGTCAATTTGTGTTCAGATTTTCTTAAAATGTTTATGTATCTCCAGGTTCTTAACCTCAGTACAATTCTAATAGAGGAAGCCTATCCAATATGTCAGTGCTTTCCTCTCCTGCTGCTACACTTTAACCAACTTTAACCAACAACTTTATTTTTGTTTCCCTAAATAAAATGGACAAAATTCAGCTGATACATAGTGATATTACAACTCACTGGTTATAAATGGCAAAGTAATGTAACTTTTACATATTTGGAATTTTCTGTCAACTGTGTGCAATTGACATTTTTACCACCCTCTTATACTTCCATTTTACATACCCAGTAAATGCTAGCTTGGTGCAAGTTTTCTTATCTAGACTACCATTTATATGGCTGATCAGTTCAGCCTACTGACTTTCATTAGATTTGCATCTGCTCAAATTAGCTCTACGTTTGTGTCCGTTGGTTATACTGGTAGGAAACTGTGACTTGAAAATAAACATAGTTCTGAACACTTCTAAAGAACTTGATGGCAAGTTCTTATGTAGATTCTTATATTGCTTCATATCATCTGGGGCACTTATAATCTTTTTTCCCCCTTTATAAAGATAATTTCTTTCTTACTTCAGAAGCTTTATTATTCCCAACTAATGTAAAACTCAGTTTTCCATAAAAAAGAGAACATTTTTGGTCATTTATCATTCTTGATATAGCCTTTCTCTTAATATATATTTATATTTTACAAAAATTAGTGATTTTATACCTGGTAATGTTCTCTACTCGTGGAGCTTCAGGACTTAGAGATTCCTCTAATTAATATCCATGCCCTTATGTTTTCATGGGAAATTAGTTTGCCCCTTAAAAATTATCAGTAGAAACTTTCTTTTATTCATGACTAGTACATGAAAGCATTAAGTCTAACCAATTGTCAGTTAAATGAAAGTTCAATGGGATACTGTCCATGTGAAACTGGATACTGATATCAATTTAGATTATTAACTAAGTGTTAATTTTGCAATTTATGTCATTTGTGTATTTTTGTATTTCTGATAGCTGTCACTGAAACTGGCAGGAACATTTTCACTTTTTATTTATAGTTTGTCTTACTTTCTGGTTTTTATCCATTAAAATTTAATGATTAGACAACTGTAGGGAAATGAATTAATAATACATTAGTTTTAAAAATTATTTTCTTTTATCCTTCCCACATCAGTCTACATTTTTTTCTTTAAAAAAAATATTTTCTAACATTATTTATCTCATATCAACAGTACATCTGAAATCCTCCCTTCCCCTCCCCCCCCCAAAAAATTAAATATTATGGTCTTAAATAGTTTTATCTCTTTACAGTCTAGGGGCCCCGTCCTGCAAACAATGACATGTCTGAGTAGCAAAGTTGTCATCACTGAGCTAGTCATATATTTATGTGTTTGCAGGACTGCACACTATGGTCCTAACAGAGCATCACCAACCAGTAGATTGGGATCTACTGGTAGATCTTGGAGCCTCTGACAGGTGATCCCAACTGGTTTGGCCAGAAGCTATCAAGCACTGGCACTTCAGTTGACCCTCCACCCACCGAAATGCTGCTCTTGCCTTCTGCCTTGCTGCTGCACCCTTGGGAGCCTCCTGCTTGCTGTGCAAGATGTGGAGGGGGATGAGAGAGGGACACTGATGTCAGAGTGCCTCTCCTCCCCCCACCTCTGTATCCTCTCTCCACCCAGAGAAAAGGGGATGGAGGGGGCTTGGCAATGAAAATCTGTCACTCACAGAGTGTGTGTGTGTGTCTGTCATTCTCACAAACACACACTATCCTTCACTCTCAGCACCTGATCCAACACATATATGGGGAGCTGTTGTTACTTCTGTTACTGCTCGCAAAGTGTATTGTTTTTGACTGGTCTGTGAATTTCATAATTTTCATTTGTCTCTTACACTTAAATTTAATTCTTTGAGTAGTGAGTTCTAAAATGCCTAACCTGCTGTGGCTGGAGTAATTATCCCCGTGGTAATTGCTGCTCCTGGAAGTGGCTGGCATGTCTCTGCAGCCCCTGAGAAAGGCAGAGCAGGGGGGCTCCACATGCTGTCCTTGCCTGCAGACACCACTCCTGCAGCTCCCATTGATTGATAACGGGGAACAGTGACCAGTAGAAGCTGTGGGCTCAGTGCCTGTAGATGAGGGGCAGCACATGGCTCCATGGAGCCATTGCTGTACATGCCAGCTGCTTTCAGGAGTGGTGCAGGGCCAGGGCAGGAGTAAGCCTGCCTTAACCCCACTGCTCCACCACCCGGAAGCCATCTCAGTTAAATGGTGTCCAGCTAGAGCCTGCTTCTTGAACCCCTTTCCTAGCCCTGAACCTCCTCCTGCACCCAACCTCCTGTCCCAGACATGAGTCCCCCTGCACCCAAACCCTTTCCCAGAGCTTGCACCCTGAAACCTGTCCTGGACTCCAAACCCGCACCCAGGGCTAAGCCCAGAGCCCCTCCCACACTCCAAACTCCTTGGTCCAAGACCAGAGCTTGCACCCCTACTCCCTACCCCAACTGGTGAAAGCACATGAGAATGGGGAAGAAAGGGGAATGGAGTGAACAAGGGGAAGCCTCAGAGAAGGGGTGGCGCTGGGGCAGGGCCTCAAAGAAGTAGTTGAAGAAAGTGGGGCAAAGGTATTTGGGTTTGAGGTAGATCTTACATTGCACTTAAAGGGTACGTCTAGACTACAGGGTTTTGTCGACAGAAGTTTTTTCAACAGATACTGTCGACAAAGCTTCTGTCGACAAAGAGCATCTAGACTACATTCAGTTCTGTCGACAAAGCAAGCTGCTTTGTCGACAAAACCCTGTAGTCTAGACGCAACCCTACATGCAATAATACCTTCTGTCGACAGAACTCTGTCGACAGAAGGCGTTATGCCTCGTAAAATGAGGTTTACCAGCGTCGACAAAACTGCTGAGTTCTGTCGATGTTATGTCGACAGAACTCAGCGGTAGTGTAGACGCAGGTATAGTTTTGTCGACAAAAGTCCATTTTTGTCGACAAAACTCTGTAGTCTAGACACACCCAAATTGAAAAAATTATCTTGTGGTTAAAAAGATTGGAGACCACTGTAATAGAGCAATATATCAGCAGTTGCAAGACACTTGGGTCTAAGTATACCATACCATTCTATAATATATGCCCGGGGTGTGTGGTTTAATATCGCTTTCTGTGGTGATAAAAAGGGTAAAACAACTACATTTCAGACAGTCAACAAATAATTGCTGTTACATGTAAAAAGTCCTTGGGCATTGAACCAGATTTCAAATTTATTGTTAAAAAATACACTCCTCTCAATGACACAGGAATGTTCTGTCAAATTTAATATTTCAGTTAAGCATATGAAGTACAACTTTTCTTATCTATAGTATCAAACTGTGATGCTTTCATACAGACAAAGAGCTATAGTGCAGGAAGTTCTGAAGGCTAGCTAAAAAAAATCCAGAGTCATTTCAGTAAAATGGAAAACTGGAAACTTTTTATATATTTGAGATCACAGATGTGCTTTGTCCTGATGAGTAAATATTATGGAATGTTATAGTGGAAAACTCTTCCAAATATTTTGTGTTCAGCAGCTTTATGCCATTCACATTATATTCCTTTTATCTAAGTGGAATTTCGTGCTTGCCAGTGTGTAATGTTAATTTAAAATATTTAGTTTGCACAGTGAAGTTTGCCAACTCCATTCTTGTGTCAAGTATAAATACATGCAAAATACATACCTCTCATTGAAGGAGTTTTAGCATTCTGTTTTCTTTTTAGATTGTAGCTGAACTTAAGACAACCATTTCCTCTCTGACAGAGGAGAGCAGCCGGCAGCAGCTTGCTGCAGAAAGGCGGCTCCAGGATGTCGTACAAAAGTTTGAAGATGAGAAGAAGCAGATGATTAGAGATAATGACAGAACAATCAAGGTAATCTGCAGCGTTCAGTCACTGATGTTACTAGCTGTTTTTGTGTAATTAAAATTTCTGAAATCATGGCAGTAAGCAAATGGATGCAGTATCATTCTTGTTCTTTCAGGATTCAGTAATAGCATTCGCTGGACTTTGACTTATCCATTGACTCTGTCTAACTTTCTTCTAGCTGATCATATGACTGAATAAAAAGTCATTTTTTGGCAAATCCAATCCATTCACATTAAGCAAACTTCCCTATTCTTTTTCTTGGAGGCCTAGTTTAAGATATAGCATATAAACTCATTCATATATTTAAGCATATTTTCAGCATAATTCTGTATGCATTTATAAATACTGGTCCAGATCCACAGTTGCTGTAAATCAGCACTGCACTAGAGACTTCAGGAGAGCTACACTAGTTGGCACTAGCTCAAGATCTAGCCCACATACTCAACTTCTGAATTAAGGCCTTGATTCAGCAAAATATCCGTTGGTAAATTCAGCGCTTGCTTCAGTAGTTTGTTGAAGAGGAATGGAATTAAAGACACTTTTAAATATATATTCTTTTGTTCCAGAACACTTTGATTACATATCTGCATAGTATAAAAATAATAGTTAAATTCTCCAGGCTCTTTTCTTTTCTTTTTCTTTTCTTTTTCTTTTCTTTTCAAAGCTTTGCAAACCTGCAATGTTTGTATTTTCTGACACAGTAAGCAGTGTATCTCTTGAAATGTAGCCTGATTCCTAGTGACTTCAGAAAATCTTGCTTACATAAGCAGCAGTGAATTTTTCTTGGTTTTTGATGTTCCAGATGGTAGGAAGTTTCTTGTTAAAGCACTTTCCCCCGTAGAACAGAGTAGAATGGATGAGTTTCTAAACCAAGCAACATTTAATCTATGAGGGTCTGCACCTGAAATTCAGAAATAAACATAGCTTAAAAGGAGAAACCTCTTTTTCCTGTGTTTGTAAGAGAGGCTGTTGTTTGTATCAAACAAAAACACTGTTTTGCTAGGGGAAGGGGCTATATGATTAAATAATCCTCTCCCCTATTCCAAATTACGTTCTTAAGAAAGAACTATAGAAGTTTATGTATCCGAGCCATGTACTCCGTATTTTAATAATTCACATAATGAAATTTCAGGTTGACATTTTTATCTTATCCCTTTCACTTTGTTTTCATACATTGTTTAATGATATTTTTATTATAGAAAATGTTTGTTTGTGTGCGTGTATGTAAAGGGAGGAGAGTTTTTCTTTGCTCTCATTCCCTAATCTCTTCTGTTAATGGTGTCAGTATACATTTGTTGATTGTTATCTCTTATGTAAGTCTGATTACAAGTAACTCTTAGTTTAGTGAGCATAGGTGAGGCATTTTTTCCAATTTTTTGGGAACATAATGTATTTTAAATGAAGAAAACTGTGTATTAATAGTCTACTCAAGAATTTCTTGCCCTAAATATGATTTTTTTGGATGTATAAGAAACTTTATAACTTCAAAAGGTGCTCAAAGTCGTCTGAAAGATACATATATTAAACAAGTCTCATGTATTGTGTGCCCTAGAATGTTGGGGGAAAAAAATCTCTGAAATGCTTATCTGTTCTGCGGTTCCGATACTCTTCAGTGAATTACACTGTTAAACTTACGGCAAGATCATGTAATTTATTTTACCAGTCTAGTAAAAATGGAAGGACTAGAAATAATTGAGTGGCTGCTAAATATCAAACATTAATAACTGAATAATTGTATCACATCCTTCTTAATGTGAATCCTTTACTATGTGTGCATTTAGCATGTATTTTACCTCTGCTCCTCATAAGCAAAAATTTAACATGCAAAAAGTATACACTGTAACCAAAAGGAGCCAAAGGAGAGTTCTGCACCAGGCTGCAAAATTGGGTCCTCAGAAACTGGTTGAGAATTTCAAAGTGGAAGGCAGCCTGGGTGAAAATGATCATGAAATGATTAAGTTCATGATTCTAAGGAATGGTAGAAGGGAGAACTGAAATATAAAGACAGTGAATTTCAAGAACTCTGCCTTTAGCAAACTCAGGGAGCTGTTAAGTATGGTCCCATGGGAAACAAGGCTAAAAGGAAAAACAACTAAAGACAGTTGGCTGGTTTTCAAAGGGACATTTTTAAGTGCTCAAGAGTACACTATTAGACTGTCTAGAAAAGACAGGAAGTATGGCAAGAGACCACTCTGGCTTCACCAGGATATCTTGAATGATCTAAAAATCCAAAAGGAGTCCTATAAAGGGTGAAAACTAGGTCTAAGTACAAAGGAGGAATATAAACAAATAACACCAGTATGTAGGGACAAAATTGGAAAATCAAAGGTACAAAATGAGCTCAGTCTTGCTAGAGACATTAAAGGGTAACAAGAAAACATTCTACAATAACAGATGCCTAACATAGAATATATCTACTCTGCAACACTATTCTGAAATAACTCAGTCTTACTCTAACTCCTGTAACCCTCATTGTACGAGGAATAGGGGAAGTCAGAGGAAGAATGCGCTATTTCAAAATAAGTGCTGTGTAGACGCTCCCTATTCCAAATAAAATACGAAATTGACATAGCTCAATTTGCATAGCTTATTTCGAGTTAAGTGCTGCAGGGTAGACACACACACAGTGAATAATAGAGAAAAAAGGTAGGTTCAGAAATTAAAATAGGAAAAGAACAAGTTAAAAAAAAGTTGCATTAAGTCACCAGAATCTGATAAGAAATTCATCCTCACAAGGAACAGATTGAGGAAGTGTCTGAGCCATTAGCTATCATCTTTGAAAAGTCATGGAAGATGGGAGAGATTCCAGAAGACTGGAAAAGGGCAAATATGGTGCCTATCTATAAAAAGGGAAATAAGGACAAACAAGGAAACCAGAGACCTGTCATCTTAACTGCCCCCATCTTTGATAAACTAAAAGAACAAACAAACAAAAATCCCATAAGCCATATGCCTTTAAAGTCAGTAAGTTTGACCTGGCAGATTAAAGAAGAAATTAAATTCTGGAGTTAGAAACACCTATAGAGAAAACCTTGAAAAACTGTGAATAACCATTTGAGTATGAAAAATCAGTACAGGCAGTCCCCGGGTTACGTACAAGATAGGGACTGTAGGTTTGTTCTTAAGTTGAATCTGTATGTAAGTCGGAACTGGCGTCCAGATTCAGACACTGCTGAAACTGACCGCCAGTTCTGACTTACATACAGAATCAACTTAAGAACCCCAGGCGTCCCCAAGTCAGCTGCTGCTGAAACTGATCAGCAGCTGATTCCAGGAAGCCCGGGGCAGAGCAACTCTGCCTGGGGCTTCCTGTAGTCAGCGCTGGTCAGTTTCAGCAGAAGCTGACTTGGGGACACCTGGGGCAGAGCAGCTGGGGTGCTACTGGACCAACCCAGCAGCACCCCATCTGCTCTGCCCCAGACGTCCTCCGCCTGTGCGCCTTTTCTCAGGTCTCCCTGCTGTGCTGGGGGGTCCCCCCCAGCACACCAGGGAGACCCAGAGCAGCTTTTCTCGCCCCAGAGGACGCGGTGGCGGGACCGCCGCGTTCTGGACGGTCCCACCGCCCGCGAGCTCCGGGGCGAGAAAAGCCCCGTTCGTAAGTGCGGATCCGACATAAGTCAGATCCGCGTAAGTTGGGGACTGCCTGTATGAGGGAGATTGTCAGCTCACAATTTGAAAAAATTATGTTGAATTGAATAAAACATTTTGTTGAACCCAAAACAAAACATTTGGATTTGATTTTGAGCTCTTTTAATGTGTTTTTATTTTTCCACCATTGTAGAGCACATTCCATTCATCTGAGCTTAAGGTGAGAAAGGCCTGGAGTATTCTGGAGCTCTCTTCCTGAATAAATGATTGTACATTCTTGCCTACCATATATGAAGGACAGTATTCTTGGTCATAGCTTGGTCATATCCTGCACTGGTCATGCTAGAAAAAATATACTTAAAGTAGTATTTTCAAGTTTTTAGGCCAGGGGCAGTAAGAACATCCTGCGGGCTTGGTGGGCCATATCCAGCCACCAGATCTGACCCATAGGCCACCCTGCTGGGACCTCAGCTACAGAGCAAGTCCACACCGCTTGAAGTGGCTGGCTGCTCTCTGTGGATGTGCTTCACGCATTGCCCCTCCTCCCAGCAAAATCTCTTGGTTCCCATTGGCTAATTGCCTCAGGGTCCCGCAGGGGCACTGGCCAGGAGCCACCTAAATAAGCACCTCCCAGCCAAAGCCTGCCTCTGGTACCCCACCCCCTCCATCCCCCTAACTCCTGCCCCAGGCCACCACCCCCTTCTGACCCAGGTCACTACCCTTCCCCCCTCACAGGTCATAAATCCCTCTCAGATCTTGCACCTCCTCCTACCTTCCCCCCCCCATCGAGTATCGTCCCCTGTAACCATCCCTCCACCTGGAGGTTTGCATCCCAAGCCTCTGCCCCAGATCATAACCCCCTCCTTCACCCAAACTCCTTCTCAAAGATCACACTCTCTCCTGCACCCCAGGGCCCTACCCCGAGCTCCTTTCTTGAACACAACCTCTGTCCCAGACCCTCCATCCCCTCCATAGAAAAGTGTGGCCCTTGGCCACTTACCAAAATATTGGGAGTGGTCCCCATCAAAAAGTATTGTCCACCCCTGTTTTAGGCTATAGGGTTGGAATTTAGGAACCAGGGTTCTACTGACTTCCTGGGCAACCTTTGGAGAAAGTTACTTAAAACTCCCCTTGGCTGTTTCCCCATTTTAAACATTGGGATAATACTATCTTGCAAAGGTTTTTGTGAGGCTTCAGGCTGGGATTTCAGAATGTGCTTAAGGGAGTTAAATACCTAACTCCTACTGAGTTTCATTGCGATTTGAGCACCTCGTTTTTAGGCTAGTTCTGAAATTCCAGCATTAATTCCTCACCTTTTGGGGAATACTCTGGGATCCTTTTATGAAAAGAGCTGCAAAAAGTGTTTCAGGGATTTTGGGGAGGCAATGAATGACATATCCACATCACAAATGGGTTCT